GGCAGGAAGGGGTGTGTGGGGTCAGGGGGGCAAAGGGACCCTGAGGCTGCTGCAGGGGAGAGGTAGGCAACACACAGGCAGCAAGGTGGCAGACAGCAGCTGTGACTCCAACCCTGACCCAGGGCTGGGGCCAGAACTGGAGTTTCAGTAGCTGTCAGCACCCCCTCCTCTTCCCCCATCCCCCCACCCCGGCCTCATACTAGATTCCAAATGAGGGTTCTTTTCACTGCGGTAAATGGGGGGAAAAACCCTTATCTTAGAATCAAATAGGGTATGTATTCAACATATATAATCTAATACTAGAAATGGCATTAGTAATTGGGCTAAACCACTTTTGGAAATCACATGAGCAGTTACTCCTATTGTTTCTATTTCAGGTATATTAAAATTGGAGATAAGGAATGTGAGTATAACCCCAATTTTCGTCTCATCCTCCACACAAAGCTAGCAAATCCCCATTACCAACCTGAGATGCAAGCACAGTGTACCCTCATCAATTTTACTGTAACTCGAGATGGTTTGGAAGACCAGCTGTTAGCAGCTGTAGTGAGCATGGAGAGGCCTGACCTGGAAGAACTAAAGGTTAGTTACTGGTTGCACAGACTATAAGGCAGTATTGACAAATGCTCAAGAATCATAACTCAGAGTTGAAAATTTTGAGATAAGCTTACAATCATGAAGTTTTGATAAAATAATAAATGTAGGATTCATTTCCTTTGTCATTTGTTTTTGAGCCTTTTAGAGAGCAATAGGGTCATTTTTTCAAGATTTCCTCCAAAACAATGAAGGCTAAAAAATTCCTTTTTTGAATTATTGAAACTCTAATCAAAAAGCATATGTCTGCAGGATCTCAGGCTTTAAACTGCAACATGAAATATCAGTTGACTTGCAATAAAATCACAAGAGCTTTTAATACTGTTAAAGTGTGAAAAATTTTCCATTATAATTTTCATAACTTGCCAAAATATTCTCTTTTGGGTTATAAGGCTTTTTAAGCGTGGCTTCACTTTCAATGTAAGCTTTTAGTGAATCTTAGCCGAATAGCCATGCAGTTGTTTTTCATTTACGTAACACTGAAAAAAATATGTTGTGAGGCATGTTTGCCGTATTTTTTCTGGCTCGTGTTATTTTTGTTTGCTTTTATTTTGTTTTGAAAATTCAACACAGCTCTCTGAATATTTTCTACTCTCAGTCTGACAGGCATCAGGAAGTTCTGATTATCCAGTGTTCATGAAAGGGCTACTGGGAGATTGATGGCTTGAGTGCTCTGGGCTGGGAGTCGGAAGTACTATTGGGTTATAGTCTCACATTTGTTACTGGTATGCTTGAATGAGTCTCTTTACCTCTTTGTACTTTGATTTCTCCCTACGTGGACTGGAGATTTTAGTAGTACATCTCTTACTTTTAAGTTCATAGCGTAAAGATGCTATGACACAGTTTATTATAACACATCCTTCAGGAAAACAACTGAAGGAAATCATGTGCATGAGTTTACCACACACAATGTTAGGTTCTCTGTATTTGTTTTGCATTTTGTAATTTCTCACAAATATTAACCTTTCATTTAAAAATCCCATTATTTAAATTGCCAAGCTATATTCATCATGTTGCTCAGATATGAAACTGGCCTCTAGCCAAAGATTTTTTTAAATGCCCCAGGTAAAACAAAAGCAGCAGCACACTTGTGAATTTTGACTCTGTTTTCCTCAAAGCAGAGACATACAAATGCAAACATATTAAATTTGTTTAATTTTGACCAATGCATTTGAAAGTGACTAGCATTGTTGGATGCCCCAATTTCGGGGCCTTCTGAGAAGCATGAAGAGATCTAAATTTTTGCATCTGGACTTTCAAAAAAATCAAGGACTTTAAATTGCATTTAGCCACTCAACATTGTTAGTCATTTGGAAAATCATGGTTAGGAAATTCAGAAGACAAAACATCTACATTAATGTAATACTAATAAACAGTTAAATAAGTTCGCATAAATTTATTATCTAAGTCCCATTTCACCAATTAGATATCTGATATGTGGCTGCTAGCAACATCCTGAAGTAGACAACCAGAATTAGGGAGACTTCCTCCATTACCTGTGCAGATGCATAGTCATGTTGTTTGTCATGGCACAGGGTCCCCAGGGATGGCCATGATGCCTCTAGGGCTCCATGACTATGCCAGCTTCACCCTGTGGGTGCCTTCTAATCTTTCCTGCCATGTTTTGCTGGTTAAGATAACAAGTAGGGAGGCTGCCCATGAGTTTCTGTGTGGCCACAGTCCTGCTGAACCCCACTAGAACCTGTGTATTCTTGGATCTCTTCTTGGCTTCCACTCCAAGTTGGTGCCTCATGGGACACCCTAAGCCTTATGGGCTAGATATGTGGCTCCAAAACCTCCCCTTTACCACACCCCATGCCTGGCAGGTGGTATATAAATATAGTCCCTCTGATGATCTGTTGGCCTCTGTTGCTGCGCCCTCCAGCACTGGGGCTCTGCAGCCCCTGTTGCTGCACCTTCTGGCACTGGGACTGTACAAAATATTGTGCCCCAGTGAGGCCGCCTCCTCCCCTAGTAGCCTCATCCCAGTCCACTGGTACAGATGACAACAGAAACACAAGACCCTGGGCTATAACATAGCAATAACAATGGAGGCCACACTCTGCCCCTTTAAGAAGGCAAACAGTTGCACTGGGCTCCACAGCTCTGGCATCAGCTCCATGCTGGCAGCGACTGCACAGGCACCTCAGGGCAGGCTGCGCTGCCCCGCTGTCTGCTCCGAGGTGCACACGCAGTTGCCGCCAGCACAGAGCTGATGCTGGAGCTGTGGAGCCTGGCGCAGCTGTTTGTAGCCTGCCCACAGCTGTTTGCAGCCTGCTTGCTGCAGCTGCCCAGAGCCTGGGCTGGCTACAAACAGCTGCTCCGGGCTCATCACCT